ATCGAGGCCTGTTCACAGGGTTGGGGGTTGGGCGAGGATTTAGGGCTGAGAGTTGTTGTGGATTCGGGTTTAGGGTTTTGGGTTTAAGGTGGCATCAAGGCTGTGGGAGTAAGATCCCTACACCCGAAGCCCTCGTCCCTGAAACTCTATACAAAGCAGACCTACACAATGTGGGAGACGTGCAGAGGGCACCAAGGGCTCCGAAACCGCAGGAATACTTGAAGCCATCAAAACTTCAAGGCAAGAATCGCCTACATTCAGGTTCAGGGTTTAGGGTTACCCTAAACCCTAAACCCTAATTCCTAAACCCTAAACCCTAGACCCTAAACCCTCCTCGCACACGTCGTCCAGCTCCTCCTTGCTTTCCAGCCTTTCTTGCGCCATGCATCTCAGCCCGGAAACCCTAAACCCTAAACCCTAAACCCTAAACCCTAAACCCTAAACCCTAAACCCTAAACCCTAAAACCCTAAAACCCTAAAACCCAAAACCCAAAACCCTAAACCCTACTCTCCTCCGGGTCGTCGATGTGATCGGAGTCACGGCCATGGTCAGTCTGCGCCGCTCCTAGCCCGCTGCTCGCCGCGGCTGCCGCGGTTTAGGGTTTAGGGTTTAGGGTTTAGGGTTTAGGGTTTAGGGTTTAGGGTTTAGGGGTTAGGGTTTGGGGTTTAGGGTTTAGGGTTTAGGGTCGTGGCGCTTCCCGTCGCCGTCCCCCTCTGTACTGGGCGCTGGCACATGGGGCAGTCCTGGAGTGCCGGCTGTGGCGGTGGTGGCGTTTCTTGACATAGGGTTTAGGGTTTTGGGGGTTAGGGTTTAGGGTTTAGGGCTTAGGGCTTAGGGTTTAGGGTAAACCCTCAACCCAAACCTACTAAGAACCAAGACAGAACTTCGGGTTCAGAGCCAAGAAGTTCATAGGAGGTCGAGGTCTTAAGCCTATGGCCTCGGGGCTCGCTCCAGGCTGGCGGAGAAAGCCCAAACTTTCCTAAGCCCTAAACCCCAAACCCTAAATCCTAGACCCCAGACCCTAAACCCGAATGAACTATTGCCCTTTCATACCTGCTTGCGGGGAAATATGAGGAACCCTGACCCCCTCTTTCGATACAAGATCTGATGCCACGAGGAATGAGGAGTCGCCAAACCTCCCCCCACAAATAGGCATCCCCTCAAACTGCACACTCTCGCGGGTCTTCGACTCTTCGTTGTTTAGGGTTTAGGGTTTAGGGTTTAGGGTTTAGGGTTTAGGGTTTAGGGTTTAGGGTTTAGGGTTACCCTGCTGAAGGTTGAGGGTTTGTCGGGGATTTGGGGGCCTGGGGCATTAGTCGGGTTGAGGGCTTTTGTGGTAAACCCTAAACCCTAAACCCTAAACCCTAAACCCTGAACGGCCTTTTGGGGGGCCCCCGATGATGGGTAAGCCTACTGACTGACCCCTTGTAGACCGCGCCGGCCTCGGTCCTTCGCTCTCTGCCTTGTGCTTTCGAAAGGGATTTTGGGCTTAGGGTTGACTTCTAAACCCTAAACCCTAAACCCTAAACCCTAAACCCTAAACCCTAAACCCTAAACCCTAAACCCTAAACCCTAAACCCTAAACCCTAAACCCTAAACGGTTTGGTCGTCCTTAAGGGCCCAGGGAGGGGTGCTAAAGGGTTCAGGGTTCGGCGTCCGGAAGGGACAGCAGGGAAGTCGCCCAATGTTCCACGCTGTTCCCTCCAAAAGGGTTTAGGGTTTAGGGTTTAGGGTTTAGGGTTTAGGGTTTTACCCTAAGACCCCAAACCCTCAAATCCGATAAACCCTCAAGCTCTTCCCTCCAAAAGGCTGGTTTAGGATTTAGCAGGGCTTAAGTACCTAAACCCTAAACCCAAAAGGCCAAAAGGCCAAAACTCCCGAAGCCCCAGCCGCCCAAAACAAACCCCAAAACAAACCCCAAAACCGCCAGACCCGCAAAACCCCAAACCCTAAACCCTAAACCCAAAATCCCCAAAATCCTTAACGAAGGGCACAACGAGGTCACGTCCACAAGCGGCTGAGCCCCAAAACCCGTGGACCCAACCCGTGGACCCAACCCTAAACCCTAAAACCTAAACCCTAAACCCTAAACCCCAAACCCACCAAAACCCAAAAATCTAATGTGGGGAGCGGAGTTCAGAGGGGCGAGGCCGAAGCCCGATGAGATGCTGCTATTGAGGGTCAAGGTTTAAACGGCTTCAGGGGTTTAGGGTTGAGGGTTTAGGGTTAAAGGGCTTGCGCCAACCGTCTTGAAGCCCTCCATCCCGAATCTCTTAAGCCCTTGACCTCCCAAACCTCAAAAACCCTAGCCCCATCCCAGAGCCTCGGCCTAAACCCTAAACCCTGAACTCTAAACCCTAAACACTAAACCCTAAACCCTAAACCCTGAACCCTAAACCCTCCCCCCAAAACACTGAGACCTAAACGCCTCAAAGACCTAAACCCCCCCACCCCGGAACACTGAGCGGCCTTCTGACGCTGTTCGTGCTTCTTCTCGACGAGCCGCCTGAACACGGTTTAGGGTTTAGGGTTTGTGGTTTAGGGTTTAGGGTTTGGGGTTTAGGGTTTGGGGCTTAGGGTTTGGGATTTCGGGTTTGGGGTTTAGGGTTTGGGGTTAGGGTTTAGGGTTTGGGGCTTAGGGTTTGGGGCAAGGGTTTCGGGCTTGAGGTTTCGGGTTTAAGGGTTCCGATTCAGGGTTTAGGGTTGTTAAGGCTTTCGGCAGCTTGGGGGGGGGGGGCGGGGGGGCTGGGGTTTCTAGGAGTTTTTGGAGGATTTTGAGGTTAGGGTTGCTTTTCCTTGGGGCTTCGGGGATGACCTCAAATCAGCGTCCCTGACTGAAGGTCGAACCCTTTTGCAAAAGCGGATCCGCAAAGAGCAACAGGGACCCTAGCGTCGGACAACACCGGCATGGTCGGGGGTTTAGGGTTTAGGGTTTAAGGGTTTGAGGTTTAAGGCCCTGAGGATCCCCGACCCCTGCACAGCACGTGCCGCCATGTGCTGTGCACGTGGCGGGCCCCCCGCATGCCCCAGTAACAGGCCACGACCCCTGGCCTTGGAAGGACCACGTGCCGAGGGGCCGGACCAGGGGCCATGGGGGGGGGGGGTAGGGCCATGGAGGGGTGGTGGGTTCAAAGCTCAGGTGCATGCATGATGTGTTTAAAACTTTCCGAAGCTTAAAGCATATAATGTCATTCATATATAGTGCATGCATGCTGTATTGTTGCATCCCATCTGTGTGCATGCATGAAAGCTATATGTGCAACTTTTGAAGCTTAAAGGCATGCGTGGCTCAAGTGTCCGATGCGCAGGTGAAAGAATGTCAGCATGCATGCGTGAGTTTTGCAATGAGAGGGGGAGGGGGGGGGGGGGGGCAGGGCAGCCACTAAATGTAGGTTTGCTGCATGCATGCATTCATGAATACCGGGCCTTTCTGGCATGCCTCGTGGTCGAGTTTCCAGAGGTTCGCCCCCCCCATGCAGCTGTGATGGCTGTGCATGCATGCTTTGAGCTTCTGTCTGAGTGTATGCATGATGCAGCGTATGTGACAGGGCATTTTGCTCAGGGCAGCTTGTGTTTGAAGTGCAGAGTGGAAAGAAGCGCCATGGCTTCGTCCCTTGAAGGGAAAGAAGAAGTTGTGGCTGGCATCTTGGGGGCATTCATTTCCATGCACGCATGTAGATGTTTAATGCGTATAATAATTGTACTATAATATATATATATATATACATATATATATATATGTATAATATGCATGCATGCATGCAAGACGAAAAACTGTGCTCAGGTCTCCTGAAGTTGCACTTGCCAACAGAAACTTTGTTGCGATGCAGTAGCAGGAAGCCTCCAGGAAACACTCTTTTCCCATGCATTTCGACCCTCAGCGAGAGTTCAACATTTTCTTTTTGCATGCAGGCATGCATGAAACCTTTTAGCGCATGCATGTTTTTTGAAAAACTTGATGCTAAAGGACACCGTCCAAAGTCACCTATGTTAACATGACCAGCCACATGGATCTGATTGTCAGCATCTTTGAGCTTGCGCCTGAGGGACCCTTGGATGAATGATTTTTGCAATATTATAGTTAAACTGCATGCACATGCGCTTGCAGAGAGCGCTCCATGCATGGCCCGTAGCCATGTTTCAGCGCATGCATGCATCGATCTGCAGGAGACATCAGTGTATTGTGTTTGCAACTTGTCTTCGCAAAGATCGATGAAGAGGCTCGAGGCCATTTCTCACACGGGAAAACCATTCGTGAAAAGAAGAAATGGTGCTCGGATGATGCTTGCTTGCAGTTTGACTATATATATATATAGTGCTTGCATGCACACGTGTGTCTGCATGAGACATGCAGGATCTGCAATGCATGCGTGTTGAATTGCGATAAGGAAGCATACACACTCTATGGTCTTTTGTCGTACGCTCGTGAGTACTGGCGCCGTGCTCTCAAACGCCAAACAAAGGGGGAGGCCTGGCCGTCACGTTTTCTCGTTTGGTTTATTGTTGACGGCACGCATGCATTAAGACTATAGTTTTTGTGTTCGCGTGTATACACAGCCAACTTTAGGCTGCCGACGCTTTGAGAGCTGTAATGCTTCCGAATCCACGGAAGACTCGAGCTCATCTTCGAAAGGGTGCTGCAGATGCAACTGCAGAAGCAGACGATGTAGAAATAGTGTGGTGGAGTAAGGGATCCGCAGGCAATTTGGTTGCATTGCAGTATATATATATACATATTATATATATATATATATATTTTTTTTTGCCTGCATGCATGCATATATATACATGTTATATATATATATATATATTAAGCATGCATGTGTGTGTGTGTGTGTCTGTGTGCATGTCTTGCGTTGCGCTGCAGGCAGCATGCCTGAGCTGGCAACGTGCCCCGTTTCGCGCCCGGGCCTTGAGGACTGGCAAAGGTTGCATGCATGCATGTATACGTCTTGCGCCGGCTGGTGCCGAGATGCATGCGTTTACAAGCCTATGGTGCATGCATGCATGGCAGGAGGTGCCGGATCGGTCCCAGCAGCTGCAGGACATGATCGATGAGATCGGCGACGTGGACATGGAGCCGAAGGTTTCTCGCCCGGCCCGGGCCCTGCCTACACCAGCTCGCGCGGTTGC